CTTCAAACTTTCTGATAAATTTCTCTTGCATTCCTCAAAGAAAAAAAAGAGTACAAAAAACCCCATCAGAATTTTAGTTTACCCCAATGAGTGTAACAGCTTTTTATCATAGATTTCATCAAGGTGTGAGGGGAGAGAAAAACAGACAGTTATTTTGACTGCTTAGTACCAAGCAGCAAACACTGTCAACCATCCCCTAAGACCATACCTTCCTCACCACCTGAGCAGAGACAAATGGATGACAAATGTGTCAAATATCATATTGTATCTGGCCTAAGCATGACAGAGCTAATAAATTGCTAATCTTTTAGGAGTTCAGACTGGTTGAGAGAATAGAAGGATTAACAAAATACTCTCTAAATGACAAACAACAAATAGACTAGTAGCACCTTAAAGACAAACAAAACATGTAAATGGTATCATGAGTTTTCATGGGCAAAACCCTCTTCTTCAAATGACTGGAGTATTAAAAGTCCAGACCCAAGAATAAATATCCAAGAATCCTGTTCTCTCTTTTTGGCCTTTCTACAGAATTTCATTTGTCATCACCTACAGCCCCACAACTTAAACCCCTCCAATGGCCAATCCTTGCCTACAGATAAGCCCCTAACCTCAAAGCAATTATTTCCAGTAACCACACAACCTACCTCCATCATAATCATCCAGGAACCCACCTCTACAATCAGCCCCGGTGCTAACTCTGCCCATACGACTACACAAGTGATTACAACCACATCAGCCACAACATCAGGGGCTCATTTAACTGCACATCCACTAATGTGATCTATGCCATCAAATGCCAGCAATGCCCCACTGCCATGTACATTGGCTAAACTAGACAGTCTCTACAGGAAAGAATTAATGGACACAAATCCAAATAAGCAACACAAAAATCTGTTAGAGAACACTTTAATCTGTCCAGGCACTCATTAATGGATCAACAAATAACGGTGTTGTTTCAGGCCAATTCCACAAGCCAAATACACAGGGAAAGGTTGGAACTTAAGAATTAAACTTGTAAATTATCAGAATGAAATGAACAGAGACATCAGCTGGCTCGCACACTACCTTCCGTATCCTAATGACTTAACCAATCAAGTTGAACAATGTATTCACTGTCTCCTCCCCCCCCCCCCCCCCACTTATTTATTCTTGGATCTGGACTTTTAATAGTCCAGTCACCTGAAGAAGAGGGTTTTGCTCACGAAAGCTCATGATCATCTACATGTTTTGTTAGGTTTTTAAGGTGCTACTATACTATTCATTGTTTTTTAAGACTTACTCAACTACCCCACTGAGTCTCCAAATGACTGCAGGCTTAAAAATAAAATTGAAAGAGTGCCTTGTGAGAATGCTGACCTATCTGAATGTGCCAACTAGATTAGCAAGTATCACAACTTATCTGTATGTTCTTAAGTAAATTTGATCAGTGCTATTAAGCAGTTTATATTTTCTTTCAAAAGGTTTAGAACTACAGACCTTAAAAAGCATCTAACATTGCAATAAAGCCTCACCTCTTATTTGTTTTACAGGAACAATATTTCCACTCATCATGTCATACACATAAAACAGTTTACTACATGTACTAGTAGCTATAACCTGTTCTCCATCAGCACTGAAATGAGCCTTATAAACGGGAAAGCTTTCCAGATGTATGCTCTGTATCTTTGGATTAGTTTTACCATCCACCTTCAAGAAATCAGAAAAAAAAAGTTAGTTTTGTTTCTTATATTTATTTGTAATGTGCCTTTCAGATTTTTTCTGTATATAACTACAAGAATTACGACTGTGTACTGTACCAGTGCCATCTTAAATAAATAGAAACCATTTATTCCAAAATAAATCCTCAAATTAAGCAGCCTGCTAAAAAATTTTTTTACATGTTTTAGATATGGCCAAAGTACAATAGATCACAGGTGAGAATGGTTTCCAGATAGAGGACCTCAGCCAAGAATATCCTATCCCAACCCTATTCAAGCAACTCAGCCAACCATCATACCTATGGTGATGCATGGGAGAAAGGATTGTTGCTGGGGTCACCCATCAAAAGCTATTTTTTGCATAATAAAACTGATTTTATGTTTAATATAGACAGCACTTTAGAAGCACATTAAAGTGATTCACAATCTCATTGTTCATTTTACATTTTATAAATTCAACATAAGCTGCTCACCTGGAACAATGATATAGACTGATCAAGTCCAGCAGTCATAACTACTTGAGCGGAAGGATGGAACTGCACTGTTGTCAGTTTAGCATCAGAAAGGCGGTCATTATTAGCATGCAAGCAATTTTTCATCTTAAAAAAAAAGAAAGAAAGAAAGAAAAGACAAGACCAATGTGGTTTAAACACAGGCTTCAGTTACTTTTCCAACTGCATGTCCTTTGCCAACTCTTCTTATGGAAAGAAGGCTTAATGGGATTTCAGTTTCAATGATTTGTAGAGCATAGAAGTGCAGGAGGGACCTTGAGCTAACCTTGTAACCATTAGGGATGTGAATGTTTAATCGGTTACCCAGAAGCCTACTCTTAACTAGTGAGGCTTACTGGTTAAGGTTAAACAGTGGGGGCTGGAGCAGCCTCAGGCCCATGGCAGAGGGCTCACCGCAAACAGATGCTGCTGCAGTCCAACCAGTGCAGCCTCTGTCTGTGGCGGGCCCAGGCACCCCACAGACCCTTTAATTGGTTAACCAATTAAAAGGGATTTTACACCCCAGTAAGCATTCTGCATAACTACAGAATAAAACCTAGTCACACATCAGATTACAGGTATTTGAAGTTAATTTTCATATTTTTATTAAAGCTTGTCATCCACAGTACACTATGGAGTACATGTAAATAAGGTTTCAGCTGACCATCCATTTAAAGTTTAATTTTGCTTTTCCTCCACCCTAACTTTTGAAAGCCAGTCTTCACTGTTGTTGTAGTGCTACATTTAACAACAGCCTTCCTGGCAGAGATGAGTTCTTATATTTAATGCATTTTGCTATTGCAGTTTCTATTTAAAAAAAACCAAAAAAACAGGAAATAGTTTACCCAATTTCTACACTTTAGAAATTGGCAGCCTGCTAATCTGGAACAATATAAATAACCTGAAGCAGACTACTTGCTTTTGTTCGACTCTTTGTTGGGAAACACCCTCTATCACACAGGAGGCCTCAGAGGACCAGTTAAGGTTTTAGAAAGATCTCTGAATTGTTCTGCAGAGACTCGATTTCAATTTTCTAGATGTTGTAATTACAAAGAAAACCTTCAAAATGTAAAACAAGAGTACTGACTGAAGAGCTTCCAGAGAACTTGAAACAACAGCTTTGAGGTATTAACTGTCATTTATTTCAATATGAAAAAAAATTAGATGCCGGTGATTAATTGTTGTTGATTTTAGGGTACTTCACTGTTAAAAGCATGTAGGAAAGGAGAAAAAATATTATGAAGACCTATACCAATGTCTTCCAGGGTAGTGGGAGGAAAGGAAAGAGTACAGAAGACTAGACAGAGGGTACAGGTGTAAGAATTGAGAGGGATAAGGCCTTGAACACCACATGACAGGTTACAACCCGGACTAACTGGATTCATCTATCTTTTTTAAGGAGTGAAAAGTTTCAGAGTTTTAGGAACCCTGCAGTATGTCATCCACAATACCACCGGTAAACTCTGTTGCTCAATCAGCAGAATGACATCTTATGTTATGAAATACACATACACAGATCAACAGTAACTAGGTTTAAACACCTTGAAGGAAATGTTAGTGTAATTTTTACCTGTAAAATGCCTCTTGGTAAAGTCTCTGACGCAGACACAAAATTGCCAGTCTTGTGAAGCAGCTCATCATCTTCATCACTATCATCTAGTTAAAACAAATTTAAAACTGAGCATTAAGTGTGTAATTTCTTGCTGCGTCTCCATATAAACTTTATTATCTTTTGAGTTCTCTGCAGCTGTGAGTCAAAGCAATAAGCTAAAGCACAGAGGCAGAACAACTGAAGATTAACACAGCTGGAGTTGTGTATTACATACCTGAAGTCAACAGATCTTAAATCGTGTTTCCGCAACATCCACACAGTGGGAGATCAGCTTCCTTTACTGCTCGAGAGGAGACGACATACTGGAGCTGATCAGGACACCCTCTGAGTTCTATACTAGACCCACTAAATTGAACCCCAGAAGATCAACTGTGGCAAAGTTGAACTTCGGCATAGCGTAGACATGGCCAGAGAAGGCATAAAGCAGCAGGTATACAGTACACAGTAAAAGTTAAAGCAGGAAACGTGCCAGGCAACAAATGACTTTCTAAAAGGTCACACAAAATAAAGGATCATGTTGGAAAAGCGAATGCCTTTCTAATGTATTTAAATATATTTACCATCATTTGCATTTTTTCTGGCTTTCTTCTTGTGTTTCTGGGCCCAGAAAGGCACGCCTCCCATAGCTCTCTGAAATCTAAAAGAAAGGACAATTTTCATAGCCCCATTCTTTTCTAATGATTTGTGTATCATACTGCCAAAAACTGATTTTTCTGCAACTTTTCTCTCACTAATAGGTAGACATTAAAACAGTGCCTCCTAACAATTACACCATCTCACTCAGATGCAGCAGCCAGACTTCTTTTGCTGTTTTTAAATAGATCTTTTCTACTCTAGCTTCCATGAACTGATTCAGCACAGAAAATCTGAACTAAATGACATACATATATAAAATGTTATACTCATACATGCCTAGATGGCAAAGTTCACATATATAAGAAATAGTGCTGTAAAAGGTTAACTGGTAAGCTTTGCCCTTAAGAGGTAAGGCTTACCAGTTCCGTTTAACTGGTAGGGGCTAAAGCAGCTCCTTGCACACCTCTGCAGAGCCCACAGCACATATAACCACTATAATTTTTGGCAGTTACATGGGTGCATTTTTAAATCCCTAATAAAAAGGATGCTTAAATACACACATGCAATAATTAGGGCATATAAATATTATGCTATATGTAAAATTCTGTTTAAATGGTTAACTGTTTAAATGTAATGTTTAACTGGTTAACCAATTAAAAGGGGAGTGAGGAGGCTGCTCCAGCCAACCTGGGCTGCAACAGCCTGCCTCACTCCCACGGGGTTGGATGCATTTGATTGATGAAGCTACTTATTTTGTTGCTTAACGGATTTTATGAAGTCTAATTTGTATGTTAACTTCTCTCCTATGTCATATAATGGTAAGGAAACAGAAACAAGACTGTGCTCCAATGACAATAAAGCTTTCAATAGTCTCCTCTCCATACCACAGAGCAGCTGAAAGCTTCAATGACAAGCAATACAATCACATGCTAAGAATGTAGGGTTTTTTTCATTATACAAGTTATTTGTTAAGTCCTCACAACATGGTCGATGCTGTTAAGCAGACTAGCTTTAAGGAATTTAAGTTATTCACCCAAGTCCCTTGGTGAAAAAGGAGAAGAAAAAAAAAAGAGCAAATCTTACTTGAACATAACATATCTTATGTTACTAAAATTAACAGCAAAGTTTGCTAACATAATCCATTAACAATTCTTACTGTTCTTGAAGTCTCTGATGAAGTTTTTCTTTGGTAAGCTTCTTCTCTGCATCACTTTTCATCATGCCTTTGCGATAACGATGTGTCATGTCAACTCTAGGAAACAAAGCCATATTCTCAATGCTAAAACTGCAAAAAGCATAGTAGCAATCCTTATTTTCTTGAAGACTTCAAAAAGCAGCCATTTAGAACAACACACTCAGTATTTCTTCCAATTCTTGAAGTCAATACCTCTATTTCCCCTTATTTCCAGTCACATCATAACATTATGAGCTTAACTCACATTTCCTCAACTTCATCATCATCATCCACCCAGGCAGGTTTTTTAGATGCAGGAAAATTATCTTTTGCTTCATTCTCCACTTCTGAGTCACTGATGTCCTCTTTTAGAAGATTTCCTGTGACAGTATCAAGCTTAAAGAAAAAACCCATACCATATGGTCAAACACTGGACAAATTTAATATTTACAACTTTAAACAGAGAAAGTTTAAAAGACATTTTTCCATAGGGGAAAAATAAAAGAATCGTAGTAAAACCACTGCTTTTCCCATCTCCGCATGCTGGGTGTAGAGCCAGGAGGGATACAGAGTGCAGTTCCTAATGCTCCCCTCCTCCAAATGCCCACCCCAACCACAAGAATCAGACAAGCAGTTATCTCCCCTCCCATAGTCCATACCCACTATTTCTCAGGAAAGGTCATAGTTTAGAGAACAATTTATTTATACTAAAAAGACACATCTGTTAAAAAAGCTACCTATCTATTGCTACTGACAGACTAGTCTACATGTAATAAGATGCACCTTTAAGCAAGATTTTCAGTAAGTTCCAGCTGTATTCCTAGGTCTTTCACTCTTAATGCCAAAAGTCCCACTAGATCTGAAATTGATTCTGCCTGCGAACCCACATTCAGTATAGGGATGTATTCGACTAGTTGCTTCCTCCCCCACCTCCCCATCAGATGTGTCATGCCCCGCTGGCCCTGTGGTGCTTGCACATTTAAAATGTAGCAAAAGCCAGCAGGTGAAAGTGCCCTTCTCGACTAATTGAATAGTCGATGCAAATTACATCAACTATTCCATTAGCTGATTAATCTAAATTTAACATCATTAGTTCACTACCTACAAATGTAGTGGCTATTGCTACAAGCAACCCAAAGCAGTTTTATGCTTCATATTTAAAACTGCCCAGAAAAATAAGCCACATATACATTTAAGTAAGATTTTACACATATAACTCTAACCATGTAAATAAGACATATAAATGTAAGTAAGACTTTAGTCAGGGGCCTATTCCCCTTCCCAACAGAGAGCAGTTGAAAGGGGAGGCTTTGCCTACATTGACTGCAGCACACAGTACAAATGGTGTAGATTTGTGCTGCAGCAAAAACTCAACTGTGTCTACAGTATGACTAACTGCACATGGAAGTGGATGGCTCTTGCGGGACGAGGCAGCATGACACTACACCACTACGAATGGCAGGGGAGGAAAGCACCAAGTGGCCACATGCTCACAGGGTTCGGGGGTGACTTTACTCGCCTAAGCATTACCGCACCAGCTACACGGCTATTTGAACCCGTGCTGGGGACAGGGAGCGCCGCACGCTCACTCCCCGTGCGGGGAAAGCGCACCCAGACGCAGGAAGAAGTGAGGCTTACGGGGAGGGGTGCCTCAGTGGGGCCCTTTCTACATCCGCCAACCCCCGTCTTTCCGATCTTTACTTATCCCCTCCCCCCGCTTCACCTTCTTGCCCCGGGCCCGCAACCGCTGCAGCGTCTCCTCCTCCTCGGCCTCCTGGCTGCCGCCCACCACCAGCTCCTCCAGGCACCGCTCCACCTCCGGCTTCCCGGACAACATCGTCAGGTGCCGGGCACGTCGAGCCTCCTCGCCCCCATCGCCGGAGTCTCCCGCCCGCGGCGACTGCCGCCGCTTCCTCTCCGCTCGAACGCGCTTCCGCGCGGGGCTCCCACGAGCAGCTGCCGGCTCCATCTCCACACCCACCTCAGAGCCTACCGTGCCCACAGCGGAAGCGTCACTAGTGAACCGGAAGTAGAAACAAACAAGTCCCGCCCTCCGTGACCTAGTAGCTACCTCCCACCCTGTGATAGGCTCTCTGCCCCCATCACGCCTCTTTCACGTGATTCAGTCAGCGCCCCCTTCAGGCAAGACAGTCTCACGTGATCCATTTCCCTCCTCCCCCCGCTTCCCACGTGATAGGTTCCCAGGCCGGACCATTCCATTGCTCACGCGGAAGGGACCAGTCCCACTTATAGGGTCTAATCTTCCAGGAGCGCGGCTCACAAACGGTAACACGGGGCACAGAAGCAGCGAACACGCCAACTAACAGTCTGTTTTTGACACGCCGCTTCGCGCACTCTCCCACCAGCCCCCCCTTTTACAAAATAGTTTCACCCTACGGAATACGGCGAGCCAGGAGGATCCGAAGACCTGGGGGCCCAATGAGAGCGCGCGGCGGGATGGGCGCTGCGCCTGCGCCCTGCGGTTATGCTAATGTTGTTGATATTCTGGGCAGGGAGTTGAATTTCTTTCTCTGCCTAAGTGAGAGGCTGAACTTTCCAGGCCACCTCCTGCCCCAGCCGGGCCCGGCCCCTCGGAGGGGAGGGGGGAGCGAGGGAGGGGGCTGAGCCGAGGGAAGGGGGGGGAGAGCAGCAGGCATCCCCTGCCCATGAGGGCCTGATGGAAAACACAAAGGACCTGGTGAGTAGCGCAGCCCCGGGGGGAGACGAGGCAGCGGCCGCCTCTGCGGTGGGTTCGCCTGGCTTACCTGGGGGGGGAGTGGATTGTGTTGGGGGAGGTAACGCAGCGTGGGGGGCTGTGCTTGGGAGGGGGAGCCCCCGGGGGGTCACTCCGTGGGGAGGGAATGCAGGGGCAGTGCGGGCATGGGGGGCAGCCTGCAGAGTGGGACCTGGGAGGGGAAGAACTGAGCTTGTGTTTGGGGGAGGGAGCCGAGCAGCTGTGCTGGCCGCAGCGTTTGTGTGGGAGGGGAGCAGCCAGGAGCACCCTCCAGCTTCTGTTGTTTCATGAGTCTCTGTCTCTGCTGGAGGCGGGGAGGGGGCAAAGTAGAGGGGAAGCGCGGCTGCAGCATTTCTATCCCCCATCCTCTTCCGTCCGTGGGCACGCGGGAGGTGAGGGAGCCGGAGCCGCGGCGCGAGGGTGCCCGGAGAAAGCGCTGGGGGCTGGGGGCACAGCAGCAGTTACGAGCTCCGGGGCTTTCGGCTAGTTTGCTGTCTTCCTCTCCGGATTCTCCGCCCCTCCTCGTGTGTGCCTGCGGGGAGGGAGGGCTGCAGCTCTGATCCCGGGGCTGCTTCGCTGCTCTCTTTTGTTGCGATTCCTTCTGCGGTGATTTGCAGGCTTCTCTGAGTTCCTGGGAGAGCTCTCGCTAGGAGTTTGATTCGTGCAACTTCAATCTGCATAGCAGACTCTTCTGCGAGCAGAGTAGGTTGCAGTAAATGCAGAGTAGCATCCAGTTGATATGCAATTAGTATAATTACCTGGAGGTACTCATGCTGGGACAGTGAATGAGCACAGAGCAGGGGAGTGTTCCGCAGTGTTACGAGAGAGACTTTAAATGTCTCGCTGAAATACATTGCAATATCTGTCATCACCGGGAAAGAAACGGGTGATGTGGGAGAGGACAGTACCCTCATCAGACGGGTTACCTTTTGTTGTGCTCCCTTTTCCCCTAAGAAGATTGTGTTAGATTTCATCTCTCTGCAGGCTGCCTTTTTGTCTCTGCAGGCTCTCCTGACAAACAGAAACAATAGCAATGGCAATGGGTTTTTGTTTTTAACTGAACAATTCAGACCTGCTGTGATTCCCATTGACTGGTGGGGGAGACAAGAGAGGGAATACTTTTTTTATTGTAGTATTATCTTTTTGCAATTAAGGCGTTTGCTCTGAGGGTTTAATGAAACACGGCGTTTTCAAATGTTGCAATCTCTTTACTTTTACTATTTACAATTTTGGATTTTTATAAATCCAGTGTGTAACTCCATGGTTTGGTTTGCTTTTGGCATTTCTCGCAGCTTGAGCAATGGAACTTTGAAGATAGTTTCACTTTCAGGTTTGTAGATGGATTTCCAAGTACTGTATGGAACTTCTTGGTTTTAAAGAGATGCTATTTATAGTAGACTTTTTTAAATTGATTAGCCATTTTAGTTGGTGATGGTAGTCTTCATAAAACTTTAGTCTTGCAAAATGTACATGTGGGGATATTTATAAATTGGTAGTGCCTCTTTAAAAGTTGCATTCCTTTTAAAGAGAAGTTGTCATTTAAAGCTTGAGAGTCAGTTTAGGGCAAATCTACTCTAGGAAATTATTTCGAAATAACTAAATTCAGCACAATAACACCTGAAAGAGCAAAATCAAAATAGTATGCCCACACTATGGGGAAGCCTCAAAATTAGTACAACGCAGGCTCCATTATTGTGGATGTGCTCCTTTGACTTAGAGTCCCAGGATACCCTGGGGAGTAACTACTTCAAATTACTATGGGGAGTAGCTATTTTGAAATCGCAGCACTGAGGTGTCCGCACAAATACTGTTTCCAAATAACTGTTTCAAAATAAGCATTATTCCCTGAGGAAAGCAGGAGTAAAGATTTCGAAATAACAGGCTTGGTAATATGGATGCTCCGCTTATTTCGAAATAATGGGGGTTATTTTGAAATTACTCCTTAGTGTAGACCAGGACTTAGTGATTTGATATTTTTAGTGTTGGGGTCTCAAAGTTTGTTTTTTTTATACAAGGTAAATAACACAATTATACTTCATTTTTAATAATATTAGGTAACCAATCTGAAAGAAAAATTAATCTGTACTAAATTTACCATACAAGTAGTAGGGAAAAGGGCACTCAGTCTATAAAACAGCAGCTTTGTAATTCTATTTTAACTAGCTTTTTTTGAACAAGTTGTCACAGGGACAACTGGAAACCATAGGAAAGACAAGTTTCCCAACTGGAAGTTAACATACAAAGGAACCAGCAATTTAGACTTGGGTCCTGAAAACTCTTAGGTATATGAATAACTTTATACTGTGAAACAGGATTGGAGTGGGGAAGCAATATTTCCTTAGTTTCTGGTTTATAAAAATAAATGACTAGTTGGAGGACCATTGGTTAAAATGTTTAAGGGTTCGCATTCCTTGCACTTTGATTTTTTCCCCCTTAGTCCCTAAAATTCAGCCTGATTCTGCAAGGTGCTGAGCACAGTCAACTGACAGTTAAGCCTGTTGACAGTGCTCAACAGTTGCTGAATTGTTAACAGTTGCTGTGCAAAAGGTCTGTGAAATGGAGGCCACAAACAGACAGGGAAAACTGACTATAAAATGTCAAATGCAGATACTGAAGACAAAAGTGTATTTCTATAGCTTTTCAGCTACTCATTTGACGTGTTACTTAAGTAAAACCACTGTCCAAAACTTGCCGGTCAGTTTTGGAATTCCAGTGAATCAGAAATTACATTTGGATTGTTGCTAAATTGTTTGCATTTCCTACTGTGCAACAGTGCAATTGTTCCTCACAGTGCAACAGCGGACACAATTATGCTAAAGCTTTACATTTTTAATAAGTTGCTAGAAGGAAAGTTGTTTTGATTTTAAAACAGTTGCAGTATAACCCGTTCAGTTTTTGTGTGTGTATTTTTGAACAGTGCCCCTAACCTTTCCTGACTATTGTTCCCGTTTCAGGAGTCTGATTGGTCTTGTGTACCCCCATGTTTCACCTCACTTAAAAACTGCTTGTACAGGCAGTCCCCGAGTTACGCAGTTACGAACGGGGCGTTCCTCTCCCTGGTCTCCAGCAGACCAGGGAGAGGAAGCAAAGCGGCGGAACACGTGGGCAGCGGACAGGGCTGTCCGCTGCCCACGCGCTCCGAGGCTTGGCTCTGCTTTGCCCCCCCATCTCCACCTGGTCTGCAGCAGCAGAGCGTCTGGGCTGTCAGCTGAAAGCGCGCTCCGCGGCTTGGCTCTGCTTGGCTCTGCTTTGCACCCCCCCCGTCCCCGTCCCCCTGGTCTGCAGACCAGGAGGACGGGCGGGG